ATTCATATGTAGAAGTTGACCAATCACACTCATCAACTCCTTTCTGTGGCAGCTCGAATGGTCTGGTTGATAAAATTGGAGAAGTCAGTCCTTCAACCTACCCAATGCTTAGTGCATTTGGGGATCTTATTCAACATCAACATCAGTCGAGCTCTCCCTTCTCCTTTATGCCTTAGTTCTATGGAACTTTTAGTTCACTGAGCCCTCTCAGCTTGGTCACTTAATGCTCAAAAGTTTCTATTGCTTTTGGGGATGTGGTCTTCCATGACTGCATTGGTCCCCCTCGGTCGTGTCCATATGAGATTTCTGCAGTGGACATTTCACAAATGATGGAACCTTGCACAGGATCCTCTTTCACCACCATTTCCCTTCCTCCTTCCCTAAGAGTCCATTTGCTGTGGTGGCTCAACAAAGCCCATGTGTCAGTGGGTGTGCCATTTCCTCCTTCATGTCTGGATATCTATCTGTTCATGGTTGCTTCCCTTCAGAGATGGGGGCTTGGGTCAATCGCCATGAAGCTTCAGGCCATTGGTTCTCGAACTTCTGGTGGTTCATTGGGCATTATCTCACTTCCTTTCTCTTGCCCGTCAATATCTGGTGATGGTTCATTCCAACAACTCTATGGTAGTGGCTCATATCCACCACCAAGGGGGTACTTGGTCTAGAGATCTTTGTTTCCAGACCATGGATCTTCTATACTGGGCCCAGACACACCACATTCCTCTTCTTGTATGTCATGCTGCAGTGGAGCCTTGGAAATCAGGGTTGTACTGGCCAATGGGGTGCCATCAGGAGGACCCGGCAAGGAGTGGAGTGTACCAGAGAAATCACCCAATGAAGCAAATAGATGGGAGGGTACACATAAAGGTAGTTGTGAGAGCAATCCTGGCTGAAGGCATCGACAGCCAGAGCCTGTGGATGTGGGACAGGTAACCAAAAGAGGGGCAACATTTTATTGAGGCCCATTGCAAATGCATCCAATTGTGGAGAACCCCATAGGTAGAAAGGATCTCTGAAAATGAACATATCTAATGATCACTCCATGGGATAGAATTGGTCTGGTCATGAAAGACAATCCACTAACAGATTGAAAGCACTTCTGCTCCTCTCACCACCTGACCCTCTTTCACTGTTTCCCTTTCTTCTGCATCAACCTCAATCCCCCACTCCCCATCCTGTATCTTTATGCCTGGCTTTTGTCCAGTCATTGGCAAGGAGATCTGGCTTCACATGTCAAGTTGCCTCCGTGTAGCTACTTCCATTTGTCCATCTTCCAGGGAAGTTTACTAGTGCAAGTGGAAGGTCTTAGGCTGTTGATCTATTGGCAGGGGATTTCCTGCCACCAAGGCTATACTGGCTTGGGTGGCAGAATTTCTCATCTGGCCCTTCATCCATGGATCTCCAGTCTCTTCAATTTCTGGATATAGGGCAGCCTTTTCACATACCTTCCATTTCTCCAGATACTGTATGGTTTATACTTCCCCTGTTCTCACTATGCTCATGCATTCCTTTTGGATTCAGAGGCGTTCTCCCCTTCTGGATTGGGACATTAATGTGGTCCTCAATGCCCTGACTCTCCCTCCATTTGAACCACTTTCCTCGTGTTCCTTATTGCATTTGTCCCCTCAGACCTATTTCCTTCTCCTTTTGACATGTGGACATTGTTGATCTGATTTATTTATTTGCTGTTGACGTTTCACCTACCGTTTATCTTCTCCTTTATCATGATCGTTCATTTCTCCCTAAAACTGCAGTGGTTCAAGAAGGTTGTTCTTCCTTTTCTCCTATTTCCCTACCTTCTATCTCCCATCTTTACCCTTGCATGGACCCCAATAGACTGCTATGTCCTGTCAGGGCCCTACAGTGTTATATTGCATGTACAGCTACCCTCTGTGGTACGCACAACCATCTTTTCATTCCCTAACAATCCTCCTCCCTTCGTAATCTTTCCCTTTTTTACCCTTATGAATTGGATCCTCCTTCTGGTCAATTTGGCCTATTCCTCTTTACCTTCTTCCTTCCTTACCTTGTTCCATGTGTCCACCCATCAATTTCATCACCTCAAATTTTCCTTCGCTTCAAATCTTTGTCATCTGTTAAAGCAGATTCTTCAAGCTGGCATGTAGACCATGCCCAGTAAAGCAGAAAGGGATAACTGCCCTTACCTGGCATGCCTTAAGTGAATAACTTGGTATGGTCTGCTTTTCAAAATAGGGTATCCTGGTCACCCATTGCACTGTCTCCAGTGGTAACATTCCTCCGGACTCTCCAATGCATACTCACCTCCCTTCTTTGAGTAGAGTATGCGAGTTCTTGCCACTTTCCAGTTCCAAGCCACTGGGGTGGTTGACCATGGAAGCACCCTCCTGAATGGCTATATTCAATTGAGAGTAGGGCTGTGGTATTCTGCTGCTGTAGGTGCAACATGGCTTCCACAGGAATTGATCCATCCCCTTGCTGGTGGATGTGGCTTCCTGATACTATTTACACTATCACAGGAGTTGATCTGTCACCTTCCTGAAGGATGTGGCCTTCTGATACTATTTACATATTCAACAATATCCACAACCACTGGAGTTGATCTGTTACTTTATAAGCTGATGTGGCCTCCTTATACTATTTACAATACTGTAGAATTGATCCATCACCGAAATGGTCGACATGGCCTCCTACTATTCATTTAAACATACAGTTGAGTTGATCTGTCATACATGGTTGGGAGCCCTCATCCTACCTTTGCATAGAC